CATGATCTGCCTGCCTCGGCCTCCCAAAGTGCTGGGATTACAGGCGTGAGCACCATGCCCGGCCTGTTTCTTCTTATATGAGTTTTGGCAGACTGTGTCTTTCAGGAAATTGATCTATTAAACATAGATTACCAAATTTTTGGGCATAGATGCTTCATAGTATTCCTTTAATATCCTTTTGATGTCTGTGGGCTCTGTAGTGATGTTCCTCTTTCATTTCTGGTATTAGTAATTCATATCTTTTTTTTTTTTCTTTAATTAGGTTGGTCAGAGGCTTATCAATTTTACTGATATTTTCCAAGAACTGGCTTTTGGTTTTGCTGATTTTCTCTCTGATTTTTGGTTTTTAATTGCATCGATTTCTGCTCTAACTTTTATTATTTCTTTTCTTTTGCTTAGTTTGGAGTTAATTTGCCCTTCTTTTTGTAGTTTAATGAGGTGGAAGCTTAGATTATTAATTTTAGATATTTTTGCTTTTCTAATATATGCATTCAGTGCTATAAATTTTCCTCTAAGCAGTGCTTTTGCTGCATTCCACAAATTTTGATTCGCTGTATTTTTATTTTTATTTTGTTCACAGTATTTTTTGTGGCGGAGGTACAGGCTATCACTCTGTGGCCCAGGCTGGAGTGCAGTGGTGTGATCTCTCGTCACTACAATCTCCACCTCTGGGGCTCAAGTGATTCTTGTGCCTCCGCCTCCCCAGTAGCTGGGATTGCAAGCATGCACCACTGCACTTGGCTAATTTTTGTATTTTTAGTAGACACTAGGTTTCACCATGTTGGCCAGGCTGGTCTGGAACTCCTGATCCCCCCATCTTCACCTCCCACAGTGCTGGGCCTATAGGCATGAGCGACCGCACCCAGCCTAGTTCACAGTATTTTAAAATTTCTCTTAAGATTCCTTCTTTGACCCATTTGGTATTTGGAAGTGTGTTGTTTAACCTCCAATAATTTGGGGATTTTCTAGCTATCTTTCTATTATTGATATCCAGTTTAATTCCATTGTCATCTGAGACCATCGTATGATTTGTATGCTTGTACATTTGTTAAAGCGTGTTTTATAGCCCAGAGTGTGGTTTATCTTGGTGAAGGCTCTGTGTGAGTTTAAGGAGAATGTGTATTCTGCTATTCTTGGGTGTTCTATCCATGTCATTTAGATCCAGCTGACTGATGGTGCTATTATTAAGTTCAACTATGTCCTTACTGATTTTCTGCATGCCGGATCTGGATCTGTCCATTTCTTATAGAGGTCGTTGAAGTTTCCATCAAAAACAGTGAATTCATTTTTTTTGTAGTTCTATCAGTTTTTGCGTCACATATTTGCCACACTCTTATTAGGTATATACACATTAGGGATTATTACGTCTTTTTGGAGAATTGTCTTGTTTATCATTAGATTGGTCTGCTTTGTCTGAAATTATTATAGCTACTTCAGCTTTCTTTTTTGTTCTTTTTTTTTTTTAGACAAAGTCTCACTCTGTCGCCGCCCAGCTTGGAATGCAGTGGCACCATCTCGGCTTACTGCAACCTCTGCCTCCCAGGTTCAAGCGATCCTCCCACGTCAGCCCCCCAAGTAGTTGGGACTACAGGCGCACACCACCATGCCTCCTTAATTTTTGTATTTTCAGTAGAGACGGGGTTTTGCTGTGTTGTCCAGGCTGGTCTAAAACTCCTGGCCTCAAGCGATCTGCCCATCTTGGCCTCCCAAAGTGCTGGGAGTATAGGCATGAGCCACCATGCCCAGCCAGTCCACTTTCAAATAATACTGTATTGCTTATGCTCAGTACGAATACCTTACAATGACAAAATATTCCTAGTTCTTCTCTCCTGTCCCTTGCATCATTGCTGTTATCCCTTTCACTTGTATGTCAACTATAATAATTTCCTACACTGTTGCTATTAATATTTTGAACAAACTGTTGTCTTTTTGATCAAATAATAAGTAAAAGTTTTTATTTTACCTTTATTTATTCCTTCTCTAAAGCTCTTCCTTTCTTTATGTAAATCCAAATTTTGGAGCTGTGTACTTTTCCTTCTCTCCAAAGGACTTCTTTTAACATTTCTTGCAAGCCAGGTGTACTGGCAACAAATTATCTAACTTGCTGTTTGTCTGATGAAAGTCTTTATTTCTCCCTCACTTTTGAAGTATAATTTCAAAGGATACAAAATTCTCGGTGTATTTGTTTTTCCTCTCTACACTTTAACTACTTCATTCCACTCTCTTCTTGTTTGCATGGCTTCCGAAAAGGCTGATGTTAAGTCTCACCTTTGTTCCTCTATAGGTAAGGTGTTATTTTTCCCTCTGGTTTCTTTCAAGGTGTGTTCTTTATCATTGATTTTCTGAAGTTAGAATGTATGATACCTAGGTAGTTTTTTCTTTTCTTTTCTTTTTTTGCATGTAACCTACTTGTGTTCTATGAGCTTCCTGGATCTGTGTCTGACATTAATTTGAGGAAATTCTAAGTCATTATTACTTTAAATATGGTTTGTGTTCCTTTGTCTTTTTCTTGTCTTTCTGGTACTCTTATTATGCATGTTATAGCTTTTGTAGATGTCCCACATTTCTTGGATATTCTGCTCTTTCCCCCACACTCCTCGGTCTTTTTTCCTCTTTGCTTCTTAGTTTTGGAAGTTTCTAGTGACATATTCTTAAGCTCAGCGATTCCTTCCTCAGCTGTGCCCTGTTTGCTAATGAGCCCATCAGAGGCATTCTTCATTTCTGTTATGGTGCTTTTTATCTCTAGCATTTTTTTTTTTTTTTGATTCTCTTAGAATTTCCACCTCTCTGATTACATTACCCATCTGTTCTTACATTTGTCAACTTTTCCCAAGAGAGTTCTTGCATATTAATCACAGTTGTTTTAAATTTATAGCCTGATGATTCCAACATCCCTGCCATATAGGTGGGTCTGATTCTGATGCTTGCTCTATTTCTTCAAACTGTGCTTTTTGCCTTTTAATCTGCCTTGTATTTTTTGCTAAAAGGCTGGCATGCTGCACTGGGTAAAAGGAACTTTTACCTTTTACTCAGAGGTAAAGAGACCTTTAGTGATGTGCTGGGAAGGTGTGGTGGGAAGGGATGTGTTCTACAGTCCTATGATTAGATCTCAGTCTTTTAGTGAGCCTGGGCCCTGGGCTGTGAACGTCTTAGGTTTTCTTTCTCGTAGGTGCGACAGGACGGCTGAAGGGACTGGAGGTGGGTATTTCTCTTCCCCCAGTTTGATTAGGCTCTAATCAAATCCTAGTGGGCTAGGCCCTGGTAAAATAGTTTCTTTTGAAGGAAGGCCTTGTTAAAAAGCACAGAATGTCCTGGCATATTTGAAAATGATTACTTTCCCTGTTCCTGCCGGAAGCACGAGGGGACTTTCTCTTCTATTTTCACTGTGCGAACATAGTAAAGTTCCTGGAGGTAAAACTCACAAAAGTTTGGGGGTTCCCCTGTGACGAGGTGCCCTGTGATGAGGGCCCCCTGGGGCCTTGAACTCTCATATCTGTCCACAGTGAGTTTTTTTTTTTTTTTTTTTGCTTTTTTTTTTGAGACGGAGTCTCGCTCTGTCTCCCAGGCTGGAGGGTGGCACGATCTCCACTCACTGCAAGCTCCGCCTCCCGGGTTCACGCCATTCTCCTGCCTCAGCCTCCCGTGTGGCTGGGACTACAGGCGTCACCGCGCCTGGCTAATTTTTGTATTTTTTAGTAGAGATGGGGTTTCACCGTGTTAGTCAGGATGGTCTCGATTTCCTGACCTCGTGATCCGCCCATCTCGGCCTCCCAAAGTGCTGGGATTACAGGCGTGAGCCACCACCGCACCCGGCCCACAGTGAGTTTTAACCCATGTGTAGGTTCATGTAGCCACCACCATGTTCAGGACACAGAGCAGCTGGCCCTGCGACTGAGCTGGGACACATGGGAGCCTGCCTGGCCTGAGTCCGCAGGCAGCGCAGGACCTGGGTCCCGCAGGCAGCGCAGAGCCTGAGGTGCAAGGCCGGTGGGCTCTGCCCAGATGCGAGGAGCAAGTTGGGCGCATCCCTGCCTGCTCAGACCACCTCCCCGGGGCCAGCGCTGCATGTGGCCCCACGGATCCGGGGGCCCGTCCCATCTAATTGGACCAGGGGTGGGGGTGGCCCTTCTGTGGTGGCCACTGGTCTTGGTCTCTTTTGTTCCATTTCCGGAGGAACCATCTGAAAGTTTCTGGGCCTGTGTTTCCCTGCTTAGGCGTTTGCAGTGGTTCCCTGAGTGAAGGCCAGGGTGAAACCCATCATCTTTGCAGCCCTCCCTCCACCTCCTCCTCTGCCCCTGCCCCTGCCCCTTCCCACCAAGGTTCAGAGCAGACAGGACTCCCCTGACTCCTGCAGTTTCCCCAGGCATCCCGAGGCTCGGACAGACCCCTGCTGGTTGGGCTCTTACAACACTTAATTTTACCTCCATTTAGCACTGGTTTCACCCCCATGGCACTGTTTGGCAATGGCTCTTTCTCTCTCATGACAGTTTAAGCTAGGTGATACCAGGCATCTGGCCACTCCTTCCTGCAACCCCATGACGCAGTTCGGGAGGAGCGGCTCGCAGTTCAGGAGTTACTGTGTGTTCAGGAGCAAGGGCTCCAAGCACTGCATTCCTGAGGCTCCCTGCTGGTTCCACACCTTTGCTCTTGCGGTTACTTTAGATTCTATGCCCTTCCCTCCTCTTTTGCCTAAATCCTACCTGTCTTCTAGAGCTGGTTCAAGGCCAGCTTCCACCAGGGAGCCTACAGTGATTATTCCTTGGAATTCCCGCAGCCTTTCCTAGTCATCAACATTTCCTGGGATGTGGAGTGCTTTCCTACAGACCAGGTATCCCAAAGGTTGGGCCCAGTCTCCCTTGCAGCAGGCATGCTGGTGGGAGGAAGGAGACAGTGCTGGGAGGGGAGGAGATCCTGAAACCCTGGGGAAGAGATTCGGGGTCAGACTCAGTTAGAAAGTGGGCACCTCTGCCCTGAGGGCAGGGGAAAGATATAGCATCAGGTGCAGGCTGATCCAGCAACTGCAGGGCTTTAATGTGGACTCTGGTGGCAGGAATGCAGGGGCTACGAGGGAATGTGGAGGAGCCCAAGGAAGGGGTGGCTTCCAGGCACTGCAGTGGGAGGCTCTGGGCTTGGGCTCAACCTTGGAAGGAGCCAGCACAGACTCAAGTTCTGATGATGTGACGGTGGTCAGACCAGCTGTCAGTGGTTGGGCTGATCATGGAGGCTGGTCCAAAGGCAGTCAGGCTGAGCAGGGTGCCCACAGGCTGGGCCAGTAACCTCAGCAGGAGACGAGGAGGGGGTTGGCGAGCGCAGCTGCTGCAGAGGCTGGTGCGGAGGGCTGTCTCCTCAACAGCTGGCAGGCAGCCAAGGCTTGGTGCAGGGCATCCAGGATGGCTGCTGGGCTGGGCCTCCCCACTGGAGGGAAACAGCAGGCAGGGAGGGCAGGATCAGTCTGCTTGCCTTCACCCACAGAGCTACTGTCCCTCCTTCCTGAGACCCAGCCACCCTTACCCCCTGTGCCCCTCCCCAGCCCTGCCCAGCTTCCTCGCTCTGTGGACCACCTCCCCCCGAGGACCCCGGAGAGGGGGCTTGGAGCACACAATTTCTGATCTCCTCCACGAGGGCAAGGACTGCTCAGGGCAGTGGGTGCACCTAAGCTCTGCCCAGTGGTGCCCGGGGAGGTCAGCGAGCAAAGGGCTTTTGGTTGCCCTGTCAGCCTGTGAAGCCCCGTGAGTCGGGAGCTCGGCCTGGCTGCACCAGGCATAAGCTGGCACTCCTGCCGTTCTGCTCCCTGAGCTTCGTGTAAACACCAGGTCCGCGTTACTGAGTGCTTAAGGGAGATGTCCCAGGCTTGGGCGCGGCCAGCACTTGACCCCTGTGCCTCAGTCTCTTCCTCTGTAGGAAGGGGATAACAACTCATTCCTTCTAGGGCCCTCATAAGGATTCAGGGGTTTAAAACCCTTGGGGCACCTCCCCTGCATGTGGCTGCAGTGCTGCCGGTGGCGCCCACCCATCCCCTCACTGGGCTTCTGTCTGGCATTTCTGCCTGGGGCTTCTGTGCCTCTGCTCTTGCTAAAAGCCCCTTCAACTTTCTAAAGCATGCAGGACAGGAATAACATGATTGTTTTGTAGACAAGATGCTAAGGATGAAGCACGCTGGAGTCTCCTCCTCAGGACACCCTCCAGCCACTGCCTGGGCTCTGAGAGACTGGGGTGCTCTCCTACCGTGGGTGGGGTCCTTGAAAGCGTCCAGCGTGCTCAGCAAAATCTTCCCCAGGGCTCTTTTCGATATGTTCTTAAAAAGAAATGGAGACAGGGCTGGATCAGACTGGTTGCTGTGTCCCTGTTCAGCCGACAGGAACTGGTGTCTCCTAGGGGCTTCTGGGCAGCTCCCTGGGGACAGATCAAGCCCCTCCCCAACCCTCATCCCTTCCTGGCCCCCTACCCCTAGGCTGCCCACCCTGTGTTTCTCAGAGACTCTTGGAGGGTAAGTGGGGCAGTGGGCAGGATGCATGCCATCAAAGATCACGTACCTAAGGATTACCATCTGTGCCCAGGTAGACACTGGGAAATAACCCTAAGAGCATTTTTATGCATTTGCTCATTTGATCTTTGCAACAACATGTTTTATTATGCCCATTTTAACCAGCAGAAAAAAGCAATGCTGGGAAAGAAAGCGAAATTTGCCAAAGGCACCCAGCTGGGAGGTGGAGGGGCCGCATCATCTATCCTGAGGCTGCATGGCCCATGGCCTCTGCTGGGAACCACTGCCCTTGCCTGCCTGGGCTAGGACTGGCCTCTCAGGGCCCATCCCCAGGTCTCTGCTTGCCCAGGATATGGACACTGGGCTGGACCTCAGCAGCTCCGGGGCCCAGGCAGCCCGACGCACAGGGCACAGCCCACTTCAGAGCCCCACAGACCTGGGTCTTCCTTTCTTTCTAATCCTTATAGCCTTTCCCTTTCATTTTGCTGCATTGGATGGAACCTCTGCTTCGCATAAAAACAGTGATGACAGGCATTCTTGTCTTGAGTCTGATTTAAATTTAAATTTAATTTAATTATTTTTTTGAGGTAAGGTCTTACTCTGTCACCCAAGCTGGAGTGCAGCGGCACAATCTCAGCTCACTTCAACTTTTGCCTCCTGGACTTCAGCAATCCTCCCACCTCAGCCTCCCAAGTAGCTGGGACCACAGGCACACACCACCATGCCCAGCAAATTTTTTTTTTTTTTTGTAGAGATGGGAGATGGGGGTTTCACCATATTGGCCAGGCTGGCCTCAAACTCCTGAGCTCAAGCCATCCACCCACCTTGGCCTCCCAAAGTGCTGGGATTACAGGCATGCGCCACCACGCCCAGCCACATCTGATTTTAGGGGGATTCCTCTGAACATGTCACCAGTCAGTGTGAGATCTGCATGAAGTATTTGGTTGAGAGCCCTTATCTGGTGAAGGAAGAGCTCTACTATTCTTAATTTGCTGAGGAGTTTTATAATCAAAGGAGATTGAATTTTATTGACTTCCTTTTCTGCATCAATTGAGATGATCATCTGGTCTTTCTCCTTTAATCTGCAATGTGGTATATTTTGGTAATAGATTTTTTGATGTGGTATCATCCTTGAATTTCTAGGGTAAGTCCAACTTGGTCATGTTGCATTTCTTTAAACACTGCCAGATTTGGTTTGCTAGTATTGTGTTTAATAATTTTGTGTCCATGTTTAATGTCACGTTAGTTTATAATTTTCCTTTCTTGTCTTTCTTCTATTTATCCTCTTCTGGTTTTGAGAACAGAACCAGAAAATGATACATACAAGAGTTTTATTAGCTTCTTAAAATGACCTGGGGAGACCCCCAACCCTATTTTTGGTTGGTTCCTCTGAGCCTCCATTTCTGCATCTGTAAAATGGGGTAACAGCTGCCTACTGTGAGGAGAGCCTAGAGCCTGGTGCCTGACACAGGTGGGGCTCCCTCCAAGAGCTCCTTTCCCTTCCCTGAGTGTGGCAGCTCCCGTGAGCCTACCAGGTCCCGGAGCCTCTGCAGGAGCTGCAGCACGTCCACCAGCTTCTCCTCCAGCAGGGACAGCCGCACCCTCTCAGTCTCCACCATCTGCAGCTCCAGCCTCAGGTGCTCATTCTCTTCCACCTTCTGCTGCAACTCTGCCTGGGGAGAGAAGGGGGCTCAGTGCTTACCTTGCTGGCCTCCCCCAGCCTTCCAGGTGACCGGATCAACTACTCCATCTCCCCGAGGCTGGTGCTGAGGCCCAGAGAAGCTGAGTGTGTGGCCTAGAGCGGGTTGGACTGATGTAAAAATTGTGTATTTTGTTTCCTACTCTAAGGACTCCATTCTCCCTTCTCTTCTCTGGTTTTGTTGTATTTTCTTTTCTTTTCTTTTCTTTCTTTATTTTATTTTATTTTATTTTATTTTTTTTGAGACGGAGTCTCGCTCTGTCGCCCAGGCTGGAGTGCAGTGGCCGGATCTCAGCTCACTGCAAGCTCCGCCTCCCGGGTTCATGCCATTCTCCTGCCTCAGCCTCCCTAGTAGCTGGGACTACAGGCGCCCGCCACCTCGCCCGGCTAGTTTTTTTTTTTGTATTTTGTAGTAGAGACGGGGTTTCACCGTGTTAGCCAGGATGGTCTCGATCTCCTGACCTTGTGATCCGCCCGTCTTGGCCTCCCAAAGTGCTGGGATTACAGGCTTGAGCCACCGCGCCCGGCCTTTTATTTTATTTTTTTTAACAAATTAAGTTTGGTGGGAAGCAGCAGAAACCAATCTGGCTAGCTTACACAGAGAGGACATTTACAGCAGGCTAGTGGGCACATCCCAGAATGGACTGGCAGCTGGAGAACCTCAGGAATGGGACAGGGTTGAGACAGTGGTAGTGTCCCAAGCCTCTTATCCAAGAGCCACAGCTGAGAAGGACCATCTCCAGCCATCCCCATCCCACAGCATGGAGAGTCCCAGGAGAGGGGCCTGGTTGGCCTACTCTGAGTTATGGGCCCACTCTTGGCCAGGGAGCCACCGAAACCATCAGTCGTACCCAGTAACACTAGGATGCCAGGCAGTCACAAAGTGCTTTGTGGCCCCTGCCTTCTAAAGCAAGCATGCCAGGCATGAGGCAGTCCCTTCCCCGGCACCAATGGAGGGAAAGAGAAGCAGTGGAAAGTGTGGTGCCCAAGGGCGCTCAGGGTCCACTCTGGGCTTGGGCAGGAGGAGGGAAGGCCCAGTGCCTCTGCTCTCTAGGGATGAGACTGGAAGGCCGGCTAATTTTAGGATCCTCCAAGCCCTGTTTCCTTGAAATGTTCTTAGAAAAGGAGTGGCTATGCCCTTCAGAACTTTGTGACTGCCAGTTTATTTCCTGATGGCCCACAGTACTGCACCCTCCCCAGCCACAAGGGCTACGACTTTCCTGAGGGGTGCCTGGGCAGGCAAGATCAAGGCCTCCAGGAAACCAGAGCGGTGGTGGAGAAAATGTAGAAACAACTTTCAACTTAGGAGACCTGCACAACACAAAAGAGTGCTAGAAACAGGGACAGCTGTGGCGCATGTTTGCTGAGCACTCACCACAAGTGTTCACTTGTTTGATACATGCAGTATAGTACCATTATTATGCCCATTTCACAGGTGAGGAAACCGAGGCACAGAAAAGTTGAGTAACTTTTCCAAGGTCACATAGGAAATGGAGTCAGGATTTGAATCCCGGCAGCCTGGCTCCAGCACATAACCGCCATGCCGTGCTACTTGGTGTTAGCAGCCTTCTCTGGGGAGTAAGTGAGGGATGCCCCTATCCCGGTGCAGGGATTCCACAAGCTGGAGGTGGTGCAGACCCGATCGCACTGGAAGGTTTAGCTGCAGCCACACCAGCTTGCCCTGTAATGACATTCGACTTTGTTTCCTTTTGCACATTTCAGCAGAATATTTGCATAGTCCTGGTCTTTGTCCAATCTACTGCAGCACTCCAGGGCCTGCTACCTTCTGTCTTGGTCTCTGATTTCACGCACTAAGAGGATGGAGCCCAAACAGGCCCCTCTGCTCCCTCCTGCCCCCAGTGACTCAACCCCTGGCCTCAGGGCGGACGGTGTGGCTGCCTTGGTTCAAGGGGGGCACACTGGCGTGGATGAGGCATGGGCTCCCAGCCCAGCCCATCTGACCTCTCTCAACCCGTTTCCTACCTCACTGGACTCCTTGAACATAAAGTAAGACAGAGCACATCAGCACCGAGCGTGTGGTTCATGGGTCATACAAGTCAGCTGGTATCATTTTTAAAAAGTTATTTAAGGAACTAGGACTTCATCAGGCCATGCATAAGTAAAAAGCAGTACAGACTTAGAATTTCATATGTATAAATATAAAACTATGTCAAAACCAGTACGTAAAAGCACAGTGGGCAACAGCTTAGTGAAATGACAGCTTTCAGCAGCATTGCACACTTGGCTACTGTGGAATAGAGAAGTTCCTATAGAGTAGAGAGAATGAGAAATGCGAAGTGGTCTTATTGAAATGGAGACAGCTGGATGCCTGGCCTCCCTCCCCATCTTCTTGCTACCACACTCCCTTTCTTTTGGGAAACTGCCCCTCCTCCACTTCATCTGACTTTGGTGGCAATGCCAATCACTGAACCTGCCCCACCACCACAGGGATTGGCCCAGGGACGGGCACATGAGTGAGGTGGCCAATTGGAGATCCTCCCTGAGATTTTGTGTATTAGGAGTGAGACTCATTTTCCTCTGAGGGCTTCCCAGGTGGGCTGATGGAAGTCTAGGGCTGTTAATGGTCCTGCCTTCCCTTCCCCCATCATATGAAGTAAGCCCTTTTGAAGCAGGGGAAAGTGAGACCACCTCCTACAGAAAAACACAGCAGACAGATGGAGACAATCTGGTCTGAGTCCCTGGACCCAGCTGTGCCTGAAGTCCAGATCATCGTCTTCTCAGCTCCATGTTCCAATAAATTCCTGTTTTGCAATCAAGCTAATTTGAGGTGGGATCCTTTAATTTGCAACCAAAAGATTTCTTATTAAATTTAAATCAGAGGAAATCACCTCCCTCTGGGCCTTGGTTTACTCATTTGGGAATGGGGCACGAGACTTGGCTGCAATCCCTCAGACCCTTCCAGCTGTGAGATCCTCTAGAATTGCTCCAGCCTTTGATCTCTGGGACCTGCTGACCTCCTCCCCAGAGGTCCCCAGGGTCCTCCCACCGCAGCCCTGAGTCCTCAGCTGCTCCACCAGCATGGCAACGCAGGCCTCCAACTCCCCCAGGGTGCAGGCATGGTCGGCACCACCGAAGTGACCAAAGTAAGTCATGAGCTTCTCCGCCGTCTGGTCATCACACCTGCAGCAAAGCAGAGGGCCCGCATTGCAGGGGCTGCTTCCCAGAGCCCACTCTGTCCAGCCTCGGAGAGGTGGTGCTGGTGTGGAGTCGACCTCCTAAAGCAAAGCCAGGCCACGGCACCTGCCTGCCCAGCACCCTCCCACAGCCCCCATCTCACTCTGAGGAAAAGCCAAAGGCTTCACCTGATCTGCTCTGTGAGCTCTCTGACCTTCCCTCCCACCCACCCACACTCATGCTGCTCCAGCCACAGTGGCCTCCTGGCGGTCCCTCCAACATGCCTCAGCGCCTCTGCACTTGCTCTTCCCTCTTCCTGGAATGCTCTTCCCCCAGCATCTGCATTGCTTATTCCCTCGTTTCCTTCAGGGCTCTGCTGAGAGAGGCATTCCCTGCATCTCCCTGCCCCGCCTCTGTCCCTGCCCCTGTGTGACCCCTCTTCCTCACGCCTGTCACACTCACTAGAGGATCCAAAAGAGGAGGCCACTGTCTGGTTTACTGCAATTTTCCCTGTCTCTCAGATTTTGCCTGGCAAGTAGTAGGTGCTTCATAAGTGCTTGCTGTTGACATGAAGAATTGGTGGTAACAACAACTCCAGAAAATCAACAGCATTTTACCATACAATAATAACTGTTGCCCCCACCAGCGTTCCCACCTCCTGTGCACCAGGCACCTGTTAGGCATTGTATATCTTTGACCTCAAATCCTCACACAGCCTCTGCCACACAAGTGTCACCATCCCATCTTAGAGACGAGAAGACTGAGGTTCGGAGAAGCCAGGTGATTTGTCCGAGGTGTCCCAGGTGTCCTGGGCCTGTCCTCGGTCCCCATGAGGGTGGAGGTGAGGATGAAACAGGGAGCCAGCACCGGCCTGGGGCCAGGCTGGAGAGCTGTGAAAATGGTGTGTGGCAAGGGGTGATGGGTTGGGAAGGGGTCTGAGAGGGACACTGGTGTCTGGGAGTGCCACAAGAGCTCCGGTGCAGGTGCTGGTGAGAAGGCACGAATGGGAATTCAAGCCAGCCACGAGCTGTACCCTGGAAGGTCATCCCACTTCATCCTCTACATACTGGTGGGCCTTCCCACCTCCCCCTGAGGGACAAGGGGACAGAGCCGCAGAGGGGCTGGGAGGTGGCTGAGCCAGGCTAACCAGCCTCCCGGGTGCTCCTGGCTTCCCTGGCCACCTCTGAGTGTGAGAGCCTGAGGCCCACAGTGGCTGACCCTAGACGGGCCACACACCTGCCTCTGCAGCTGGAGAGCCGGGCCAGCAGTGTCTTGGCCTCAGCTGCCGGCATCTTCTGCTCCTCCCGCCACTTCTCCTCCTCCTCCTCCTCCTTGTCAGAGGCGGCCTGGCCCTCCACGGATCGGAACAGCTGCTCGTCCACTGCTGGGGAAGCACAGGATGTGGGGACGCAGGACAAAGGGTGGGGAACCAGGCATCCCTCCCCAGGTGGCAGCCCGAGGAGAGGGCTCTTGTGCCATGTCCCCTCTTGAGATAGCCACCCCCCATGTCCCAGGCTCCTGTGTGGTAAGGCCACCAAGGCTGGTTCTGTCTCCCTGTAATGTGACCAGCCCAAGAGTGAAGCTGGCCAGTCAGAGCCCCTTCCTGGGACTTCACACAGGGACATGGGGAGAAATGTTCTTTTTCTTCTCTTTCTTTTTTTTAAAGAGACAGAGTCTTGCTCTGTCACCCAGGCTGGAGTACAGTGGTGTGATGATAGCTCACTGTAGCCTCAAACTCCTGGGCTCGAGTGATCCTCCTGTCTCAGCCTCCCAAAATGTTGGGATTACAGGCATGAACCACTGTGCCTGACTTCTTCCCTGTTTTCTAAGATGACACAAGCCAGGCCCTGTCTGTGGCCTCAGAGATAAGTGTTATTTCCATTTTAGGCCGTGGCAACCCCAGTCAGGAAAGGCCAAGCCAGTCTCTTAGGAGCTGGGGTGGGTTCCTCAAGGTACGGGCACCAGGATGGACAGATTTTCAGTGCTCAGGGAACTGCAGGCATCTAATGTTTGGAGTAATGTGGAGGAAGGGGGTGTGACACATGTGACTGTCTGTGGTCCCCAGTGTTGCTTGGCCTTGACGGTGGGCTCCCGCCTGCAGCAGCATCAGGAAGCCCGGGGGTCTGTGTGGCCCCCTTGTGTTCTGCTGCCCAACCTCAGTCCCCATCCCTGTCCCCAGGGGAGTCCCACTTCCTCCTCTTCCTCTCCACCCAGCTCCAGGGGCACTTGAGTCAGGCCCAGCCAGGCTGAGTGCAGCCTCCTCTGCGACTAGTTCAGGAAGGGCAAGGGACGCTGTGGGAGCCACTGGAGTTAGCCCAAGACTTGGACTCAAAACTTGCAGGGAAGAGAAATGCCCTCCATGCTTCTGGCCTGGGAGTTGAGAGGACCGGGCCTGGAGCCGCTGGTGACCATCTTGCCACTATGGGGGGAGTGCCTCCTGTGAAATGAATCGCTGTAGAGCAACGCAGGGCCAGGCGTCGAGACAGCGGCGCTGCTGACGTTTCAGCTCTGCCTGAAGCTTGCGTGGACTTTGAAGCTACGTGAACCAATACATTCTCTTTTAACTTAAGCCGGTTTGGGCTAAATGATCTGACACTGGGAGACAAACGATGTCCTAACCGATACAGCTGTTTAAAAACAAAACCAGGCTTATGACCTCACCCCCACCGCCCCAGAGAATCACATGCAGAGATCCGGGGTGGGCCTGGGCATCCATGTTTTTCTTTTTTCTTTTTCTTTTTCTTTGGGGGGTAGGGCAGGGCCCCACTCTGTCACCTAGGCTGGAGTGCAGTGGCACAATCTCGGCTCACTGCAGCCTCGACCTCCCAGACTCAAGTGATCCTCCTGCCTCAGTGCCCACAAGTAGCTGGGACTATAGGCACGTGCCACCACACTGGGCTAATCTGTTTGTATTTTGGGTAGAGCCAGCTTTTGCCATGTTGCCAGGCTGGTCTCAAACCCCTGAACTCAAGTGATCTACCCGCCTCAGCCCCCCAAAGCGCTGGGATCACAGGTGTGAGCTACCATATCCAGCCTGCATCCATGCTTTTAAAGGTGACCCTGGCCACCTGGCAAGTTTGGGAACGTCTCGAGGTATCCTGACCTCCTGATGGCTCTAAACCCCCCAGATTCTCCAGGCCTAGGTTCTTAGGATGATGGGGCTGGGGAAAAGGGCCCCAGCCCAGCCTGAGCAGCTGGTGGGAGTGGGCTCTGTTTGGAGGCTGGTGGTAGCGGGCTCTGTTTGGAGGCTGGTGGTAGCATGGACGCAGACAGACCCCTGAGAGCAGGGCTGACACAGCCTGAGGGACTATGAACCTGGCAGGAAGACTGGGCGCACGGGTAGCATGGATGCAGACAGGACCCTGAGAACAGGGCTGAACATAGCTGGAGGGACCGTGAGCCTGGCAGGAAGACTGGGCACACAGGGACAAACCTTCATCCGGGGCTCTGCTTCCGGAGCTGCTGTCTGACTGCCAGGCTCCCTCTGGAGTGGGGTCTGGGTCTCTGGTCCCAGCATCTTCAGGTTCATTACTCTTGTCTCCTGGCTCCGGGCTGGCTAACTGTGGGGTTGGGAGCTGGGAGTCCTCTGACCTGCAGTGGTGGGAGAGACACGGGCATTGAGGAGGAGAGTACAGGACTCTTCATTCCCCACTGTGCATGGGCAAGCTGTCTATGAACCATTGTCACCCTGGCAGAGTCAGCTTCCCACAGTCCAGGAGGAAGTGCTAGATACTGGGATTCCCAGCATCCCTTGCAGCTAGGGCACATGCATGGAACCCAGTTTTAGCCAATGGGACTCAAGGCAAAATCTTCTGGAACAGATTTTCATCCTTATAAAAAAAAAAAAACTCTACGAAAGGAAATGCCCCTTCCTTCCTGCCTTTAGACATTGTCATACGAGAATGTGATGTTTGGAGCTGCAGCAGCTGTCTTGTGACATGAAAAAATGTCTGAGAGAATTACTGAGTTGTTGAACAAAAGCCCTAATGTCTTTTAGCTGTTGACTTCACCAGCCCTAGGGCCACCCATCTCTGGACTTCTTGTTATAGGGGAATTAAAAAAATTTTTTTTCATTGTTTCAGCTACTTTTTTTTCTTTCTTTCTTTCTTTTTTTTTTTTTTTTTTTTTTTTTTTTTTTTTTTTTTTTTTTTAAGAGATAGGGTCTCTCTGTCACCCAGGCTGGAGTGCTGTGGCATGATCTTGGCTCACTGCAGCCTAGACCTCCCAGGCTCAAGCGATCCTCCCACCTCAGCCCCACAATTAGCTGGGACTACAGGTATGCACCACCACACCCAGCTAATTTTTGTGTGTGTGTGTGTGTGTGTGTGGAGACGGGGTTTCGCCATGTCGCTTATGCTGGTCTCGAATTCCTGAGCTCAGGCAATCTGCCTGCCTTGGCCTCCTGAAGTGTTGGGATTATAGCCATGAGCCACTGCACCTAGCCTACTTTTTTTTTTTTTTTTTTAAGTAGAGACAGAATCCTGTAATCCTAGCACTTTGGGAGGCCAAGGTGGGTGGATGACCTGAGGTCAGGAGTTCTAGACCAGCCTGGCCAACATGGTGAAACCCTGTCTCCACTAAAAATATAAAAATTAGCCAGGTGTGGTGGCACACGTCTGTAATTCCAGCTACTTGGGAGGCTGAGGCAGGAGAATCACTTGAACCTGGGAGCCCAGGAGGCGGAGGTTGCAGTGAGCTGAGATCGACCACTGCACTCCAGCCTGGGCAACAGAGTCAGACTCTGTCTCGGAAAACAAAAACAAAAAACAAAAAAGAGACAGAATCTTACTGTGTTGCCCAGGCTGTTCTCAAACTCCTGGTCTTAAGAGATCCTGCAGTGCCTTGGCCTCCAAAAGCACTGGGATTTTGGATGTGAGCCACCACACCCAACTAGTTTAAATTGCATTTCTATTCCTTGTCCCCGAAAGCCTTTAATTGAAACATCTCCCTTCTCTGGGCTTTGGGGAACCTACATTACACCCCACCAATCACTTTTCTTGATATTTTAAGGGCCTGACCTTTTGAATATTCATTTTCCATGTCCCTGCAGTTACAAGATAGGGGAAGAAAGAAAAATCTGTCATAACATGAAAATATCAAGGGCCACTTATTAAACTGGCCACTTTATACTAGCATCTGTCCCACACCCATCTCATCATAACAACCCGATAGAACCCAATATGAAGCAAAACCACATCTTGGAAAAGGGGAGGCCGAGTGGTGTTGGTCAGGGGGACATGGGAGAACTCGAATCGCAGGCAGAGCCACTGATGTGGGGCTGTGGCAGGGCTGGACTGGATTACAACCAAGGAAGAGAAAACCAGCAGGATAAGCACCAGCCAGGAGCATCAGGAGAGTGCTCTGCTGCACGAAGAAAACCTTTAGAAAAGCCAACAAGGCTGGGCGCCGTGGCTCACGCCTGTAATCCTAGCACTTTGGGAGGCCGAGGCTGGTGGATCACGAGGTCAAGAGATCGAGACCAGCCTGACCAACATGGTGAAACCCTGTCTCTACTAAAAATACAAAAATTAGCTGGGTGTGGTGGTACGTGCCTGTAATCCCAGCTACTCAGGAGGCCGAGGCAGGAGAATCACTTGAACCCAGGAGGTGGAGGTTGCAGTGAGCTGAGATCACGCCATTACACTCCAGCCTCTCAACAGAGCAAGACTCTGTCTCAAAAGAAAAGAGAAAAAAAAAAAAAAAAAAAAACAAAGAAAGAAAGTGAACAAAGGCCTGAGATATTTTTGCAAAAGTGACCCTCCTCATGATAAAGCTGCAAAAAGAAAACCTCCAGAAACAAAAAAAAAAACAAAAACCATAAAAGTAAGGGTACACCATTGTGTTCTTACAGAGTGTTATTGGAAAAATTATTCCAAAAGCAATAATCAGTCCTAAATCATTCTGTGTTTGGTCTAAGAATGAGAGCACTGTACTGCAGTCATAGAGATTATTTTCAAAGAATGACTAGACTAGGCACGGTGGTTCACACCTGTAATCCCAGCACTTTGGGAGGCCGAGGCGGGTGGATCACTTGAGGTCAGGAGTTAGAGACCAGCCTGGCCAACATGGTGAAACCACATCTCTACTAAAAACACAAAAATTAGCCGGGTGTGGTGGTGGGTGCCTGTAATCCCAGCTACTCAGGAGGCTGTGGCAGGGGAATTGCTTGAACCTAGGAGGCGCAGGTTGCCGCAAGCTAGATTGCACCACTGCACTGCAGCCTGGGTGACAAGGTGAGGCTCCATCTCAAATAATAATAATAATAATAATAATAATAATAATAATGAAATGGCTGAAAATATTACCTGGTTTTATTAAATAGTATGATAACTCATTTTCATACATTGTAGCTTTATTTTTCAATCTCCAAAGAGTCCCCATTTTATTTTTATTTGTATTATTTATTGAGACTGAGTCTTGCTCTGTCACTCAGGCTGGAGTGCAGTGGTGTGATCTCGGCTCACTGCAACTTGCACCTCCTGGGTTCAAGCGATTGTCATGTCTCAGCCTCCCAAGTAGCTGAGACTACAGGCGCCCGCCACCATGCCAGGCTAATTTTTGTATTTTTAGTAGAGTCGAGGTTTCCATGTTTGAACTCCTGACCTCAGGTGATCCGCCCGCCTCGGCCTCAGAAAGTGCTGAGATTACAGGCGTGGACCACTGCGCCCGACCCAAGAGTCCCCATTTTATATGGACTCGCTGAGTGGACTTCCCACGACCAAATATTATTGGAACACAAAGACCCCTGCTCGGGAGGTGCTGTTCGGAGCCATGGCCCCTTGCTGGGCCTCTCACTGCGCAGGTGGAAGCCCTGCAGCACCCAGGAGGGGCAGGCAGGGAGCCTCCCGCGGCTGATCCGCGTGACCGGGGTGAGGCCCCGCGGAGAGTCCGGGCAGGTGAGGGGCGCGGGCTCCCGGCCGGGGCTCCGTCAGGTGGACTCGGCACTTGGAGGGCCCGCTAGCCCACGGGCGCCAGGGCCGCCCTGCAGCGCCTCCCGGTGGCCAGCTCCCCGCCGGCACCTTGGTGGCGAGCACCGCCCCCGCCCGCGGGGCCTCCCCGTGCTTATCAGCATAACCCCACCCTGGCCACCGTGAGTGGCCCAGGGCTGCACGGGGAGCCAATGAAACACAAGGAGCGTCTGCAGGTGTTTCCGGGCCTCAGCGGCGTCCTCTCCTGCAGACCCCCTTCTCTGCCTGCCTGAGGAGGGCTCGGAGTATGATGACCGACGAGGCGGGAAGTTGTGACTCTGAGGGGACCGTCCAGCGATTCTGGGGGCTGCAGATAGAGCCCAAAGATGACGGCAAAAGAAACAGGGCCCTTAGTAACATCAGCTGAGCTGCTGGGTCAGGCTTTGCCTAAAGCCAGGGCTAACCCTGAAATTTCGTGTTTTTTGAGCCCATGACTCTGATTCATAAAATCCTGCATTCAGCGTCCTCCAGTGCAAGCTGAGAATGGGCATGTTGCTTAGCAGCAACCAATGTGAAAACCCCCGGGTGGGGATTCTTGCTTCAATGTGAGACTGCGTGACTACAGCCATGGTCATAATAGCTGAGATCTCACTGGGGAGGTGCCTGTATCTCCCTACTCCACGGGCTCCAGCCTGGAGAAGAAAAGACACAAGGGAATAAGGTCACTGTCTCCAAGACACAAGGATAGAGGCAAGTACCTGGTTATATGGCCCCATAGGGAGGTGTTTAACTGGGGTGAGACAGCAAAGATGGGAGTTGGGGAATCAAAGGGAGGTGATTTTAGCTCACTGGGAGGAACAACTTTCTGGCAGGAACTGCTGATGAAGAATGATGATGATGTGCTGTGGAACGCAGTGAGCTTCTTGGCAGAGGAGGTATGTCAGCAGGTAAGGGACTTCAGCGGCTGGAATTGTGAATACAGTTGGAGGTTGAATTAGACATACCGAAATCCCACTATGAGATGCTGCTGCTGCTTCTATTCCCTAAATCATTTAAGGGTTTCAACAAGCAAAATGAGATAGAGGGACAGCTCTTACCAAGGGGCCTGTTTAAACATTTCCTGACACAGGCTGCCTGGGGTGGACTGGATCCCCACACTCCACCTCCTAGCACTTGCATGTGTCTTAGAAAGCCTGCTCCAGGCACAGCTTCCTACACGGACAGCAGCGACAATACCAACGAAACCGTTCAGTGTTCTGAAAGCCACTCTCAATACTTCAAACATCTTCCTCACAAAAACCCTGTGACATAGGTAAGGTCATCATCTCCATTTACAGAGGAGGAAACCAAAGCACCAAGAGCTGGAAGAAGCTGTGGAGGAAGAAGTGGAGGAAGCCGCACCGTGCGAGAGGTGGGGTCTGCACTCAGGCAGACGGCTGCAGGCCCGCATGCCAGGCATAAGGGAAGCTTGGAAGGCACACTCTGGAATGACCTGGCCCAGCTGCCGTCGTCAGTGGGTGACTCCAGGTCACAGGCAGTGAAGCTGGGAAGAGAACAGAGCCATCTGGAGAGCAGGACAGATGAGGACACTCTTTGGAATTTTCCAAGAAGTAAAATGTGGCCGCAGAGAAATGGAACAAGTGCTTCCTCAGGGAGCCCTGGGGCGTGCTACTGTTGTCTAGT